TAGAGCTTTTTCTTCTAATATTTCTAGTATACGTTTTGGTTTGATTTTCATTTTGAATAATTCGCATATTACTTCTTTTGATTGTTGATTAATACCAATAGATCTTGGTTCGTTATGTAAATGATCATCTTCTGTTTTGTATATTGTAACACATTCATTTTCACTATGATATAAAACATGAATACTAGCTGGACATTGTTTTCCACGTCATTTAACTTGGTTACACCTATAATAAGTCCGTTTTCCTTCATTGGTGATATTCGTATCAGAGCGCGAAAAAAATGGTAAAAATTAGATTCGGTTCGATTCGATTCGACTGGACTTGGGTTCAACTCGATTCGATTCGATCCGCTTTTTCAAAATGTCAAATCGATTCGATTCGACTCGCCAAAAGTTCTACTCAATTCGATTCGATTCGGATTCGTTTCCAACTTCTAATATTCGATTCGATTCGATTCGATAGAGAAAAAATTTCAATTCGATTCGATTCGATTCGGTTTATATTCTATGGAAAAAAAATCATATTATTAATTTTCAATTTCTATACCTTTTTTGACGATATTGTCTCCTCGTAATGATAGATAATTCTCACTCGTCTCTATAAAAATGTAATTTTGATAATCTTCAAATATATCAATAATAATTATTTATTTTTACAAGAAAAAAATACATATGATGAAACATATTCAGATAGATCAAAAAAAAATTTAAGAAAATTTATTTTCGATCGAACGAAGAAAAATAATATCATTGACTGTTGATGGATCAAGGCTGCTTCGTCGTTGAGTAATAATTTGACCTGTCGCACTAAATTGTCTTTCCACAGCCGATGAGCTGCATGGAATTGAAAAATATTTTCTAGCCATTTGAGAGAGATTGGGAAATGTCACTTGATTTTCTCTTTTCTTCCAAAAGTCTAAAGGATTTTCATATTGTTCACCTTCATCAAGTACTAAAGATATATAACGATCAACTTCATCCGATGTAGATTGTTGTTTTTTTTGTTTATCCATTAATGTTGACATAAATATTTTTGCTTTTTTTTCTTGTGGTTCGTAAATTATTTCATTTGTTTCAGTACTTGATTGACAAGGTCCGATAAAGAGACGACATGCTGTATAACAATCAGCAATTTGAGTACTACTTGCACCTCTAAGTTGTTTATAATTAGGATGTAGAAAAGCTCCAATAATATAATCTTCATCCATATTAAACATACTGGATAATAACTGCAATGCTCGTTTGTAAAAGAATTTCATGCCTAAAAATAAATATGTATTAATAGTGTAACTTTAAATCAAAAATAGTACGAAGAAAGATAGTACTCTTCGTAGTTTATAGGGATTCTTTTAAAAAGTGAAACTGGCTATATGAAAACTACATATAGCAGCGTAATATAAATCATCATCATTGAAACTGAATCTACTCTTCCACTAGTGACACACTTATTTGAACTGTTTATTTCAGCAAATCTGATAATTTTCATCATCGACCGTTTAATATTTTTTTGAGATCAAGTGATTTTTTAATATGTACAGTACGCATAACTTATTAGAATTGACATCAAGAAAAATGCTTCAGAAATAAAACTCATATTTAGTCTTACCCGATCTTTCTTTACGATCACCATTTGATAATTCATTCCGAAGATGGGTAATGCATGGAAGAACAAGAAAGAGAGATGGAGCATTTGTTTTTTGTAATTCAATAAGAACAGTTTTCTATGGATAAAAAAATTCAATTAATTTTTCTACAATATCCATATTGGTTTTCTGTATACGATAATTTTGTTTTTTATTATTGAGCAAAATAACTAGAGATGGATATGCATTTCTAATGCTTTCCAAAAGTTCACAAAGTGATAACCATCGAACGATGGATGATTGATGAAGAGTTCTTTTTTCGATTGCTTTTGCAGTTGTATCTCCATCAGAATCTTCACTAATGGATTTTTTTTTGCACAAGCTGCAATTGTCGATTCAAACCACTCTAAAATAAAAAAAAATTAATCAAATATATAACAAAGTTGGCTTACTTTTTTATATATTTAACCAATGATTTACAGTTCTTAATTGTATTTAATATTTCACGAACGTTATTTGGTAATTGATTAATAGTTAAATCTTTATAATCATGATTATCGTCAAAATCACCATTGTCATCATAACCACAACTATCACCATCATCATCTTCATCTTGATCATCTCTAAAAAAATAATTGTGTCTTTCGTTTTTTTTTATCTGATATTCTTATTAAGGGATATATTTAACAGAAAATAAATGATAAAAAGAAAAACTTACGATTCATCTTCACAAATGCCTTCCGTAAAATCTCCAATTTCTGGTGATGGTTGAAGATTAACTATACACCTTTTTTTTTTCTTTTTTGGTGTCTCTTGAATTTCAGTGATAGTCGTATTTGATCTAACAGAAGTATTTAATGATTTATTTTTTTTGTTTTTCATTGGAATTTGATAAAAACATCTTTTTAAAATATTATTTAATCTATGTGCCACACAAAACAAAACTTTGTTTAATCGAAAAGCCTTTATGAAGTTGCTTCCACGATCGGTAACAAAAGTAATGCTGTCCATGTATTGATCAAGACAAAATTGAGCAAGTTGACTTTCCATTAACTAAAATACATATAAAGAATCTTTCAAAAATAAAAATATAATAATACATGTGAGAGATTAAGTATTTTCAGAAGATTGTGCTGATTAAGGTCGAGACATTAATAAAAGTTATGATAAAATTTTCATACTGTTTTTTTCTCAAGTAGCCTTGCAACTTAACTTACTCGATATATATTTTCGGCTGTTTTTTTAACATCCATGATCTCAACACAAAAAAGATCTATTGCATAATAATTTAAATTTTCGTCAACAAAATGTGCAGTTACTCCCATGTAATTAATGCCACGATATTTGTCGGTCCAATTGTCTGGACTAATTGTTAAAGCTGTATTTGCTACTGCTTCTAACAATACACATTTGAGCTTATTTCTCATATCATAAGCCAATTTTCGAAGTTCATTTTTTACAGTACGATCACTTGGAAGAAGATCTTCCGCTGCCAGATTTAATTCACCACGACATTCTTTTCCTAAAGAAAAATAAGCGCATTAGATAGTATATGAATATTAATTTTACCTATATCTAAACATTCTTGTATAATACGTTTAAAACCAGGATCGTCAACGATTCGAAATGAACGCATCGAACCAGCAACCCATCTTGTGCATAATTTTTTGATATCCTCCTTTTTTTTTGTTTGATTTTTAGAAAAATGATTTCCTGATCGAGGAGAAAGAATAAATGAACTAATACTAGTTTGATCAGATGATTCATTTCGATGACAACGATGACCATATAAATTAGCTGTGCTAGAATCTATATATTTGTATGTATCAAAACATATTTTGCATGAAACAAAACCAGGTATAACTTCATATGTTTTTACTTCGCCATTCTTAACTTTTGCAGGGAAACCGAACGTATTCCAGCAAGATGCCGTTACTCGCTTCCTTTTATTACAAATAACTTCAAAATTTTCATTATCTTTAATTAATGCATGTCGAATAGATGATGTTGAATAAACTGATGTTGTTGAAGATAATGTACGAGTTGGTGTTGCACAAGAAGAAGTAGATGATGAAGTATCGTCAACGTTTAACATAGTTATTTGTGACATTGATCTAGAATTCAATCACTAACATTAGACCGCCGTTTAGACTGAAAGCGAAAAAGAAATGAATGAGATAACACGTTCTTTGTTACGGCTATCTTTTATATCAATTCATATGCACTCGTCCATAACAATATATAAGAAAAAAAAGAGGTCGTTGTCAACCGAATGACTGAGAAAAAGGACCCCGCCGGATAAGATCATAAATCTGCCACCCCCTAGATTTCAACTTCAATAGTGTAGAAAGATAGAGCATGAAATTCTGCACATTTTTGTATATTTATTCATCTTTTTTGTCAATACCAAAAAAAAATTTTTAGGGACGAAATAATCTTGGGGAGGTATATCATTTTTGGGTTTTCTAGATAATAGTTATGGTATTCAAAATTTTTCTTTTGTAAACTTTTGATAAAAACTAATAGTGTAGATCGATAGAGTTTTTCGTGCTCTACAAAATGGTATAAACAGATAAATTTCAAATTGTTGCAATCAGAGTCTATAAGACTCACAAATGTAAGAACATATACAAAAAAACATATTAAACGATTATTTTTGATAAGTTTCAAGTGAGTTTTCTGGCTAACGATCATTTGCACAAGATGATGACTGCCATAGCAAAATTCCTCGTCATTTGCTCTACAAAATGGTGTAAATTTGAAGGAAAAAATTATAGTTCCGAATATAAGATATTCGATGATTACGTTTGAGCAGTCGCTATTTTACTCGTATATCGATGTTTTTTTTTGGGACAGGTGTAACAATTTATTTAAATTATTCCAGTTTGTCTATGAAAATTGACATCAGCTTTTCATTGAGTGAGGATAACTATGTTAAATAGTGTTCTATGAGCTAATTCAATAGACGTCCTTAACCGATCTTTACTATACATCAATGTGACTCATCATTACAGCTCTGTAACAGTTACATGCTGAAGTTCTCAGAAAGCAATAAATCTAGTATTTTATAATACTCTGTACTTGTCTTACGCATTCCGGCCGCTGTGGCTGAATGGTTAAGTTGTTCGACACAAATCCACAAGATACTGTGTTCGAACCTCGGATCCATCAGTCATAGAATGACCTTGGACAAGTCACTAACGGCTGTTTTGTCTGGGACCACCCATCCGATAACAAATTGACTACGTGTTGACATACACTAAATAGTTCTTGTAACTAGTATGTGGTTAGTCAGTATGTATGGGGAGCTTAAGAAATTAAGCGAGAGGAACTCTGAGTCAGGCCAGCCTTCTGTCCAGAGCTACATTTAGTAATAGATGTAGGAAAATATCGGGCTTCTCGAAACTGTCCTCGGACAGCACCCTATACCGCAAGGTAGCCGAAAGGCGGAGTATTCTTCTTCTTCTTCTTACGCATTCAGTTACTAGTAATGTTTTTTAATATTCGAATGTCGTTGATAGCCACTATCCTCAGATAAATGACACTACGAGAAGATTTTCCTGACTGAAGCTGATCATTAATTCAATGAAATACATGATCACGAGGAAGGAGGAAGTTTTCATTAGCGTCCACTGACAGCAATAAGGTCTCGTTCTTGCGACTGACCTTTTCACCATTTGTTTTTGACTTTCTGATTTCTCTACTATATAACTCTGTTAGCGTCAACAGATCACACTATGTTGACGCTAACTTAGTTGAACTTCGTTCAATTGCCCTTTCCTTGTTATTCTTTCATTTATTGGTGTCTTCTCCTTCGTTCTGCTGTTAATTGGTTTTTTTTCTTTCGCTCCTTCTATATTTAGATTTTTGTTTTTCGTTCTGTCTCTCTCTCTTTCGAATTTTCTCAGATTTTGATATAGTTCAGTTGCTCGTTTTCCTATCTAGTGGAAGGTTGTATTGAATTATCTTCGAGTCGTCTTCAATTATTATTATTATCAGTTGATCTTTCGCCTACCTAGTGGAAGGTTGTATTATATTATCTTCATTTCGTCTTCCATTATCCTTATTATAAATGTTATCACCCTACTAAATTTCCATCCCCTTATATTAAATTCCGTATTCCATTATTCTGTCATCATCAACATCATCATTATCACAAAGTCAATTCTAAGGTAAGATCTTTATACTATTAGGTCCCAATAATAACATATAAAAGTTGACCTAATAAACTCATCTTGTGTTTTTTGCGGTCTGTTTTTCACTCTGTCTTCCTTACGAACCAGTTCATTTGTTACTATTACTATATATCGTGAGCATCCTTTTTTCTTCTTCGAATCGTTTAAGATATTATCACTGTGATTATTACAAGTATACTATCAATTTATAAGCCTGATCAGCATATATATATTATCGCCCTCACTCGCGTCGTTTAACTAATCCATTTCAGGTATGAAGCTTTTACGAGTGAATGTTCAGGTTCTTTATATTTAGTAGGGTTTCAAAACTTATCTTTCAGTCGACGTAATTATCGTGCAAAACTATTAGATAGCCAACTTAGACAGTTATCTTTCGGCTTACGTGTTCCACGTGGACAGGAGTATTAGATAGCCATTTAAATAATTATCTTCCCGCTTACGTATTTAACGTGGGCAGGAGTATTGGATAATCATTTAAATAACTATCTTCCAGCTTACGTATTTAACGTGGGCAGGAGTATAAGTTCATTAGAAACTGACATCTTCGTATATTCGGCGTACAATTCTGCTCAATTGAATATTATAAGGAATTATTGAAATGCCACGTAAGAAATGTGCTTTATGTTCTCACTGGGGTTCTAACTACCGCTCATTATCTTCTTCTTCTTATGAATGGTTTCATCAATATCTTCGATCCAATGGAACGGTATTTGATCAGGACGACTTACATCTTTGCTCTGTTTGCATCAGAACGTTTTACAGTTTTAAAGAAACAATGGCACCTTCGTCTACTACTGAACTAATGGACACAACGGAACAAACTAATGCCAATGGAGATGATGATCGGTTAACTCTGAATAACGTTATTTTTGCTGGTAGTGGGCACAGTAAATGCGTTATTTGCCGTCAAGAAACACGTCGTGGGATGATATCGATGCCAAAAAGTGCTCGACTAGATCTACTTATTATTCACTTAATGTACGCACCAAACGGCGTTCGTTGTTGTCCATCTCATCTACTCAATAATAATCGTTTATTACCTGATGTCGAGATAAGTATGGGAAATCGTCAGCAACTTGCAGCATCCCTCTTATCATCAGAAATGATTGATCTTGTGACTGATCTACTTTCACTCCTTCATGAAGCTGTTACATCTCCTCGTCTTGATTTTCTGGATCCTTCTTTAAATGATGAAGATTACTTGACCTGGACAGGCTGGACAAAAGCTCAGTTTGATAACATGTTTGATATCATTTCTCCTTATTTACGTTCGTCTTCTAATCGTAATACTCGAAATGCTCTCGCTATGTTTTGGATCAAACTGAAAACTAATTTGTCTTTCCGACAAATAGGTTCTGTATTTAATATTCCAGGAAACAGTGAAGACCGACGCAAACGAGCTGCTGATGCATTCGATAGCGTTCGTCAATGTTTAATTGAGAAATTCGTACCTCGTCATTTAGGCGTCCAACACTTAGCTAGAGAAGACGCCAAAAAGCAAAATACGAGTTTTAGTATTGAATTTTTTGGCAATAATGTGACTATAATTTGGGATGGAACATATCTATATATGGGCAAAAGTAGTTCGCACTTGATCAATCGGAAAACTTATTCTGGCCAAAAGTAAGTTTCTTTTTTGCATCGACTTTAAGATTACAAGTCTCTATTCTAGACATCGCCATTTAATTAAATTCATGTCCCTGATATTACCAAATGGATATGTACTTGATACCATAGGTCCATTTTGGGGGACCATGAATGATGCCTCTATTGCAAAGAATATCACCGACACATGTGATATTCTCATGAAATGGTGCGAAAAAGGTGATACGATGATTGTCGATCGCGGATTCCGCGATGTTATTGAATCGTTTATTGATATGGGGTACGAAGCAAGAATGCCCGACTTTTTAACTAAAGGACAAAAGCAGCATACCGTAGAACAAGCAAACAGATCTCGCTTGATCACAAAAGTCCGATGGAGGATTGAATCGTACCATGCTCGTATGAAAAAATGGGCTTTATTAAGTGGTCGGATTGAAAACGCTTTCATCCCAAAAGTAGCTGATTGTGTACGTATTGTGTCAGCTGCCCTTAACTGCTACCGAGGACAGATCGGTCAGCATGCTATCAATAGCGACGATAGCATGCTTGCACAATATATGCGTCAACAAATAGGTCGTAATAATATATTACAAGCTCGTGTTGATCAAGGCTTATTATCCTCCCGCTCTCGGTGGAAAAAAATCGAAGACAGCAATTTCGATTTTCCACAGATATCTCTAAAAGACTTACGTCAATTATTCTTCGGAACATATCAGATAAAAATGGGGCGTTCATATGTGGAGGAGCATATGAATAGCGATGGAGATTATATTATTGAAGTGGATAATTCCAACGACAATATCGTACGCGCAAGTATACATAGTCGACATTCAAACGCTTCAATATATAAAGCTTGGATTCAATTTTCGCTTACTGAGGATCCAATTGAAGCATGGTACTGTCAGTGCACTGCCGGGGCGCGCAATGTCGGGTGCTGCAGTCATGTGGCAAGTATTATTTGGTATCTTGCCTATGCTCGACACAACAACTTCACACCATCTGCAGGTCGTCAAAGATTAATACAAGCCTTAACAAGACAAGAACCACAGACAGAAACAGATACTGATACTGAGTCCAGCTCAGAAGATGAATGAACTATTTACAACAAGGCAAAACTCATATATGTTTCTCTACTGGAAAAGTTTTAACACTTAGATGTTATATACATTAACATCGGATAAATAAAAATAACATCATGATGCTATTCATTTAGACCAAATTCATATGAAGAAAAAATTCAGGAGAGGAGTACAGAGTATTATAAAATACTAGATTTATTGCTTTCTGAGAACTTCAGCATGTAACTGTTACAGAGCTGTAATGATGAGTCACATTGATGTATAGTAAAGATCGG